CTTCTTCTTCTTCTTCTTCTTCTTCTTCTTCTTCTTCTTCTTCTTCTACATTTAACTACAGCATGGTGACCAATTTTTTTTTCCTGGCAGTTTCCAAAGAACAGACAGCTGATTGATGGGAAATTTGGGTCATCTGGGAAATAAGCCATCCATCTTTTAAATCTGTCATCCTGCTTTTGAGATATGGTAGGTTTTGATGTGAAGAGAATGAAAAATATTCCGTCTCTTCAGCTTGTACATACTTCAGAAAGCCTTTTTTTCTCTGCTTTAGTCTTGGTGGAATCTAGTCCTCAGAGGAAAAGCTCCAAAAGTGCTTGTTTGTAGAGGTAGATGTCCCTGACTGTATCATTTTCCCAACCAGTTAAAAACAATGAGGGGAGCCTCACTTTTGAAGTTAAAGGGGACTTTAAAGACAATATATAGGTTAATGGTAAAATTTTTTATGAATTTACATTAGTTTGGGTTTTAATTTAGGAAAGATAAATCTTGGTAGACTGCCAAGTGGAAATTTACCAAATTTACATTTGAATCTAACTAAGGAGATTTCACATGCAAATTTATAGCCAGTCACAGGACTTTAATACTTGGGCGAAAGGTCTTGTCAAAACACATTTCTAGTCCCCTAAAACTCAGCAGTAAAGCATGAAGCTAGAGTGTCCTCTCAGAGCCATTCAGTTTCTGGGCCAGTCACTGCTTAGGGCTGGTAGAGAAGGAGGAGAAGAGGATGGAGGGATGGGCAGCCTGATTTAAGCCATTGGCTAGGGAAACAAGTTAGGTTGATGTCAGGGCAGAGACCATGATATATCACACCATGGGAACACCATTAAGCCCTAAGAGGGATTCCCAAAGCCTTCTCAGCTCACACAGTTGTTTTGTTCACAAGAAACCAATTACCTGTAGTTATCCCAGCAGGCAAAGGTAATATTCCTTTTTTGCACAATCAACTTCAGCTCATTAATGGAGGAGCTTGAGCATGAGTTACTAGGGAAGAAACACAATATTCAAATAATAAGATCTTTCAAACATTCTCTTATTTCCTCTGCACAACCGCTCCAGGGAACAGCACTGAATTGTGGGGAAGCAGAAATCCACCTCCCAGGCTTCTTGGGTCAGCAAGAGCTGAGGTGTGGGGCAGTCGCTGTTCTTTGTGGAGACTGTAAGGAGGGCTAAGAGCAGAGCAAAGCCTGTTCGTCTGCTGAGCCCGCCTGTTCCCAGTGCATTCTTGTGACCTTGGACTCCTCCTCAGGCTGACTTGTAGACTGTGGCTCTGCTCTAAAGTAGCGCTCTAAAGTACCTGAAAGCTGTTTCGATGTCATGCATCACCCAGGCCTCTAGCTTATGAACCTTATCAGGGTCCAAATTAAAGACTTCCACACTTCCAAAGGTGCTAAAACAGAAGAGATAAACAACATCACTGACCCCAAAGCAGAAGGCAGGGCATCCATTCCTCTTGTCACAGTCCAGCCAGCTGGACATCATTGAGTAGAACCTATCTTGCCTCCCACCTTTCTTCATTCAACATGACTCCTGGTTACCAGATTTTCAAGATAAGACTTTTAACTATATTTTGATGCTGATATATATAATATAACATATATAACTTATTAGTTATATAAATTCATATATGTTATATATTATATAACATATATTAATATATATAATATATATCAGCTATTCAAAGTGTAGCATTACTAGAGAGTTGATTAGAACCACATGATCTCCACTCACCCACAGCTACGCCTCCTGTGGAAAGGGCTGTGGCACCAGCCCTTCCACTCAATGCCCATAGAAAAAGATGAAAGGAATAGTGTTGCTTTGTAAAATTAACTATTGATACAAAAGAGAGGAATGATTAATTGAGGATACTATAGTGCCCAGAGAAAATTAATATGTGTTCCTATTTTTCAGAAGCACTTTTATCAGAGAAAGATTAGAGAACAAAGACCATGGCCACGACACAAACTAAGACAAGAAGGGGGCCAGAGAAGGAATGCTTGAGTTGTGAGCCAATTCAGCCCTGAGGATTAAATGAGGAAATAACTATTGATATGCACTGAGGAGTTTTCATTAGGCACGAGCTCAGCACCGTTCACATCTTACCTCAGTTTATCTCTAGAGTCAATGTATCACTTATGTATTCAAGGTCTCAAAGAGGCCAGATGCCTGCCCAAGGTCACACAAGGCATGTGAAAGGACCTGTGGTGTCCTCACTGTTAAACCAGTACAGTGCTTTCCTGGGGATGTTATCAGGAGAGAATGAACATCGGAGCCCAGCACGGTTTCTGATGTTCCAATAAGACTTCTACTGCTGACGTGGGGTTCCCACTCTCCACAGGGGAGAGAAAAGTGAGTCATTATTCCCGAACCATGAGGACGCAAACAGGGAGAAGTGGGAAGGCAGAACAGACAGTATGGGTGAAATGGGAGGGGAGAATTCAAGGGGGAAACAAGGCTGAGAATATTATGTGAAGCCCCAAAAAGACAAGCGTGATAACTGGAAACCTGAAATGACCTTTAGGAACATTGGAGGATTTTTTAAAAAAGGAGAAACCAGAGCAAACCTTGACTCAGAAAGAAAAATATCCTCAGAGAATACATAAGCACTACACTTTTTAAAGTTCAGCTCTTCAGGACTGATCTGAAACATGGAAAGCACATTCTTTCAAGGAATGCCATGTCTGACAGGAGAGCATAACCAACCGTTGCACACGGGATACAAAGGAAGGAGCCAAGTACCTGTTTTTGTGAAACGGTTCACTGAGGGATCCATTGAGCATCACTTGGACCACACCACACGCATCTTCTGCAAACTTAAAAAAGAAGTCTGTTAGCTGTGCAGTGGCAGTGCACACCTTTAATCCCAGGACTTGGGATGCAGAAGCAGGTGGATCCTGTCTCTGCCTGGCCTATGGAGGGAGTTCTAGGACAGCTAAAGCTACACAGAACAAACCTGTTACAAAAAAACCAAAACCGAAAAAAAAAAAAAAAGTTCATCACTATTCTTCAATCACCCTCACCATGGAACTCTTAGTGCCAAATGCTGAGATGGGAGTACAAGAATATGCTTAGTATATATAAAACATGACCTGCTATAGAAGGTGATAACATCCATGAAAAACATTCGCTGAAAAACCAAGCAAACAAAAATATACAGTGTCTCTTTGTTTTCAAAACATCCAGTAAGTCTTCAACAAACACTTACTGAATGGGTTCTATAACTTAGCAAGATAGTGGTATTTTATTTAAAAGCAGCAATAACTATCTAGGATAGGCATATGCTGATCTTCATTTGGTGGAAATGAAATGAGGAATGTCTAAGAAGATGGCTTATTAAAATGTGTCCCCTCAGAACAAAGCCCTCTGAATCAACTAAGCAAGGCTCAAATGAACCCACAGAGACAGGCAGCAAGTATGTGTCTGCGTGGGCCTGCACCAGGTCCACTGTATATATATTATAACCTTCAGGTTAGTGTGGACTGAGTGTGTGAACAAGTGGGTCTCTGACACTTTTGCCCGTTCTTGGGGATCTTTTCCTTCTGTTGGGTTGCCTTGTCTAGCCTCAGTGTGATATTTTTCATGTTATCTTATTATATTTTATTTTATCATGTTTGGTTGTTATCTCCTAAAAGCCTGAATTTTTTTTCTAATCAGAGACAGAAAGAGAGTAGATCTGGAGGGGAAAGGAGGTGGCAAAGAACTGGGAGAAGAAGAGGGAGAGGATATTATACTCTGGATATATTGAATAAGAAAAGAATCTATTTTCAATTAAAGGGGGAAAATGAGAAAAAAAACTGACTGAACTATTTACTACTAAAAAAAAAAAGTGTCCCTCACTTCCAGGTTAATTCTCTATCTCAGCACACTCCTGAGTCCTCTTATAGTAGGAATTTAGTCAATCCAGGAAATTAAAGAAGAGCAAACAACGTGCATTCAGACCAGTGCTCTACCGCCAATCTAATTTCCAGACCCTAGCCTGCCATTTAAAAGACATAATCATTAAGCAGACAGCATGTGGAATAAAGGCTATTGTTTACAAGTAGGCTGACTTATACTAGGATCTCATCCCTGCTACTTACCAACCAATGGCCTTGGGTTAGTCTCTTTTAAGAAAATTTTAGTAGTCCCTTAAAGAATTTTTTTATGACGAGTTTTTACCATATTCACCACTTGCCCAACTCCTCCCAGATGTAACTCCCCACCACCCAACATAGTCTTTTTTTCTCCTGCCCATCAAGTCCAACCTCTGTGTGGCTTGTCCGCAGAGCATGGTTGACCTACCTGTGACAACACTCACAGAAAACTGAGTCCTTCTCCCAGCAGCTACCAGTTGTCAGTTGTTCCCCTGCTAATAGGAGACTTTGTGACACTCCCTTCTTTAGGCTGAGAGTTGGTCTTGGGCTTGCACAAGTCTCCTGCCTGCTATCACAACCTCTATCAGTTCATATGAGCAACCACCCTGTTGTGGGCAGCGGACACTGTCTCCTTGTATTCATTCACTGCCTCTGGCCCTTACAGTCTTCCTGCCCCTTCCTCTGCGTTGATTCCTGAGTCTCTTGAGTGAAGAATATTAGGTTCCTCACCTCTAATGTGAAAATTTGTTAAATTCTTATACAACTTATTGAGAGGATGAAATGGGAGTGACATAGAGACATATGGCTTGTCGAGCATGAAATTTGTATGTTGCTATGGTTTGAATGTGTGTTCTTTCACTCTCATCCTTGAATTCATAAATTAGAAACTGGGACCATTGTGATCTTGTTAAAAGGTGGGTATTTGGAAGGTGATTAGAGCACAAAGGCTCTGCCTTCATGAATGGGATCAGTACTCTTGTGACATGGCTTGGGGAAATTCTTTAAGCACTTTTGTCTTCTAACACGTGGGGACACAGCAATGAGCTGGCATCTGAGAAACACAGAACATCCCTCATTAGACATCAGATCTGCTACCACCTTGACCTGACTGAGGTCCTTTGTAAATCAGACAACCTTAGTTTTTTGTTGTTGTTGTTGTTGTTATTACCACAGTGCAAACAGACCGAGGTGCAAATCCAAGTCTATATCTGCCACACCTCCTCAGATATGTGTTTAATTTAAATTTATAATCCATTTGCTTAGACCTTTTTCCATTGCTTTCATTTGTTTTTCTTGATTCTGTTTATTCTTTTCCCCCATGGTCTACTTGCAAAGAAGCTTCTTCTTGCACAGATGCAACTAATGAGAAAAAAGTAAACATGCATAAGCAACTCAAGTGCAGTGAGATGAAGATATGGGGAGAGAATACTGATGTTTCTCAACCCAGATTCTACAGCTGGAATCAGTCAATGGCTTCAGTGCTTGCTTGCACCTCCATCTTGCCATGTGCAAAGTAGCCATGATATTGATGGTATTTCATATGGTTGTTATGAGCATGGAGTTCTTAACTCCTGCAAAGAGTTGGACACATATTAAGTAGTGTATAAATGAAGATTATTAAGACTGTTCCAGAAATTGAACCAATACGAGGGTCCCAGGACTAAACTAAGCCTGGCATCCTGGTAGATGCAGCCAATGAACACTATCCAGTCATTGAGTATAGGTATTCTGTCCCTGATCTCCCAAAGCATTTGTAGGTGTTCTGAAGTTGTGTGGAAGAGTTTTCTGGAATGTAACCCTGAGCATTTGTTCTCAGCAAAGATTTCCATGTTTTCATACCTAAAAGAATCTATGAACCCAAAAGGGTCAAAAAATTAACCAATCATTGACCAAACAGCATCTTCAGTCAAAACTCTAGGATTTAACTATTTTGGACTTACCTTTTTGGAAATCACTTTCCAGTACACAGTGATAGGGTTGTTGGGACAGTTGTCCCTCCAATGTGGGCAAGACTCATAGTTCATGTCTAAAACACATAGTTTATAGAAAACAGTTAAAGTAGAAAAAAAAGTGCTTCTTTAGGCTCTATTCTTGGCTGTCCAATCACAGTGGGAGAGTTTTCCAGCAGCATCTGCACCAAGTCAGACGCTGGAGAATGAACACATCTCAACTCAATTTAACTAAGTGTCCCCTGAACTCCTTCCAACTTCTTACCTCCCCTTCCAGTTCCAAGACAGGAACACTGTGATGAGTTTTGACTCACCATTCTGGGAAGTGGCAACAAAAGTGTACCCTTAAAGACACTAGCCCCCATCACTTCCCTGGAGTCCAGGAACACTTGGAGAGAAGGCCAGGTGTGTTTGGGAAGAAGACGCTGTCCCCAGACAGTCTTCTGATTCCCGGCAATTCTCTTGTGGAGCATTTTCTTTTCAACCTTCATAAGCTTGGGGGCTCAGGTGGGCTCAGACTTTCTATAGCCAACTCTATCAAAACAGGCCCAGCCCTTCATGTGGTACAGAGTACGGAGTGTGGATTCTACGACTCTGTTCTCATGGTTATTTGCAGTAATATTTAGTGAGGGCAAAGAGGGGTGAAATCAGGTGGGAGCCTTGCCTCACATAGCCTGTGAGGGAGTGAAGTCAAATAACCAGAGGAAGACTATCTTGGGTTGTGTAATATCACCAGAAAAAAATGATTCAGGTTGGAATTTGCTTTGAAGAAGAATCACAGTGTTCAGAGGGACTCTAAAGAGAAGGGCACTCTATGCAGATAGCAGGTGCAGAGGCAAAGAGCTGTGATGAGCTTTGATCAGAAAGGGGAATGGAGAAGGGAATGATGGAAGGTGAGGCACCTGAGACACAGAGGCCAGGCCAGACCAAGGAATTTAGTCTAGGGCAGAAGAGATTTCGTTAGGTTTTATAGGGAGATAGAAAAAAAAAAATCACATTTTCACTGTAAGGAAAACTCTGTGGTGTCAGATTGAGACTGACCTAGAGGGGTAAGGAATGATCAGTAAAAGAGCATTCCAAGCCGGAAGGAGAAGGTGTTAGTGTCAGAACTAAGCCAGTGCAAGGGGAAATGAACAGATGGATTACGAGGCAAATAGATCCTGATAAGCTATAAAGGGGAAAGAGAGATCACCTTAAGTTGACACCTTAGGATGTCTATGTTACATATCTCAAATATAATAACCAGTTCCTCATGCCTACTTACATCCAAACATTACACTGTACACCTTAAATATATATAATTTAAAACATTTTTAAAGTGTGTTTGAGAATAGATAATACAGAGTGAAATAATATATAAAGATTTAGAGGGTATTCCTTGCAAAAAGAGAGGAAGAGAAAGAGGAAGTGGAAAGGGAAGGAGGGAAAAGAGGAAAGTGGGAGAGGCAGGCAAAGGGTAGAATAGAGAGGAGGAGGGAAGGAAAATGAGAAGAAACTGGATTTGGGGGTATCTTACCTCAATCGCATTATAAAGTAGCACTGTGGTTTAATACAGCTGCCTCACCAATGCTCACATTAAGCTTAATTTGCTACTGCAATGTGTTGAGTTGATGGGACCTCATGAGGGAATCTACCTTCATAAATGGATTAATGACTTTTTGAGAGACTGGGCTATTTTCCTCTAGACTGTATTAGCTCTAATGGGACTGGATTGGCTATCACAAAAATGAGTAATGAATGAATTTAGCTTTCTTGGCTCTCGGCTGCTTCCCCTCTTACCATGTCATTTTCTTCACCTGTACGCCTACTGCTAAGAGATCAAGGAAAACTCCGAACCCTGAAGCTGATATTTCAAAAGGACAGTGATTACTGTTTTATAAGAGACTGGATTGTCACTAAGGGAACTGATGGCATTAGGGTATGTGCCTATTGCCTTGTCCAGCTCAAAGAGCCTTCCCCATTCACTCTGAACCATCCCAGGTGTTTCAGAGCCTCACCTGAAGTACTGGGGTCTCCACACCACCTGAGGTCATCAGCAATGTAGCCCAGCAGCGTGTCCTCTAGAGTGAACATCTTCCCCTGGACCCAGGTATACTTATGGGCCAGGTCTTTGGATTTGCTCCAAAAGAGACTCTGAGAAGGAATAAAGACACAAGTTAGTGGGTTCAAGAATAAGTGAAAGGGCTGAAGGTGGGGCTCAGCAGTAGGATTAGTGCTAGCACATGAAACTCTGGGTTCTATTTTCAGCACTGGAATCAACTGATAAATCAATCAATAAATCCACCTTTTATAAATGAAAGAAAGTAGAAACTCTCAGAGTCAATCACGCACCCTGAAGACATCAGTTGGTTATCGCCTACCACCCTCCTCCTCCATTCGGAGCACTGTACTCGGTACTCCCGGGGGAAGAGCCTCAAAACCTCCAGCTCACTAACAAGTGGGAGGAGAGGTGATACTTGTGAGTGGTTTGAGGACTTCACTTAGCTGCAGACATGTTAAGTTTTGCTCATATGCAGTCTGCGGAAAAGTTGTACCTCATGATAGACCTTTTCTATTATATTCAAAGGACTGAACATAAGGTCTTGTTTTATTTACATTTCAGCTAGTCATTGAAAGCCTCTAAGGTGACTTCTTCTTTTCTTTCTTTCCTTTTTCCGTTCTGTTTGCTGTATTTAAAATTTTTATTTATTTACTCACTTTACATCCCTGTTGTAGCCCCCTCCCTCCTCTCTTCCCAGTCCCACCCTCCTTCCACTATCCCCTATTTCTCAGAAAAGGGGAGGTCCCCTACCCACCTACCCCAGCTCCTCAAGTCACATGAGGACTGAGTTTATCCTCTTCCCCTGTGGCCTGGTAAAGCAGTCCCCTCAGGAGGAAGTGATCAAAAAGCAGGCAACAGAGTCCATATCAGAGACAGCCACCAGTCCCCTTACTATTGGACCCACATGAAGACTGAGCTGCCCATATATGTAGAGGACCTAGATCCAGCCCATGCATGGTCGTTGACTGGTGCTTCAGACTCCACAGGCCCCTGTGGGTGCTGTTTGATCGGCTCTGTTAGTCTTCTTATGGAGCTCTTGTCACCTCTAGGTCCTTTTATCCTTCTCCCCACTAGACTCCCTATGCTTCTCCAATGTTTAGCTGTGCGTCTCAGCATTTGATTCAAACTCTTGCTGGGTGGAGCTACTCAGAGGACAACTCTGATAGGCTCCTGTCTGCAAGAATAGCACAGTATCCTTAACAGTATCAGGGGTTGGCTCTCTTCTATGTGGTGGGTCTTTTGTTGGGCCAGACATTGGTTGGACATTCCCTCAGTCTCTGCCCTGTCTCTTCTATCTTTGTCCCTGCTGGTCTTGTAGGTCGGGTAAGTTCTAGATTGCAGTTTTTGTGGGTGGGTTGTTCTCCCTCCACTGGAAGTCTTGTCTAGTTAGAGAGTGTTCTCTTTAGTCTCCACGGTCCTTGCTACTAGGAGTCTCACCCTCATATCCTCCCAGAGGACTATTCTGACTTAGGTCTCCAGCTTGTCATGGAAATGGCCCCACCCACAGTTTCTCTTTTCTATGCAGGCTTTCTGTCCCCCCCTGCCCCATCCTTGCTTTCCCCAGGTCTGATTTCCACCCTTATTTCTCTCTGCACTCCCTCTTCTACCTTGTTCCCTCTCTTCAACTACAACCTCTGTCTATTCTATTTCCCCTTCTAAGTGAGACTTAAGCATTCTCCCTTGGGTCCTTCTTGTTACTTATCTTCTTGGCGTTTGTGCATTGTTTATGTTTATCCTCTACTATATGGCTTAAATCTATTTATAAGTGAGTACATACCATATGTGTCTTAGGTGATTTCTTTTCACCTAAACTCACCACTCCTGAGCTTCCCTGCTGTTGAAATAAAGACTCCAATATGTGGTTTGCCTACTCCATAGAATGGCTCTGAAGAACTAAGAAGATGTAAAGAATAAAATCACTCCTCAAATGTAACTTGGTCTTGTGTTACTGTTTACTTACTTATTACTATCAGAAGCCAGGGGAAAAGTTCCATAATTATATAAGCCTGGGTTACTTTGTGTGGTATGGGGTTGATGTTAAATTCTCTCTTTCCTCTGTGTCTGCCTCTCTCTCTTACCTTCCTTCCCCAGATGTCCTAAACCATGATGGTGTACCAGTTCTCCAAAGACCGCCCCCTATCAATACAACCCCACCAACCATATCAAATGATCCCTAATGCCAAAGTGTCCTCTCTTTCTGCCTCCTAACTTTGGTCCTGGTACCTTTTCCCTCTGGCTTTTATTCTCAATTTAAAAAAGAAATAACTTGCCCTCGTTACCTTGTTACATGGTATGGTTTGAGTGGCCAATTTAACTAGTGGTTCATAGTCTTCTGTTGTGATGTTGCAAGGGTTCTTGGAAACAAATGCTCTTTTGAATGCACGCAGTAGCTTCTTGCAGTCCTGATCTCTATAAAAAGAAGCATGAAATATAGATTTTAAAGACATTTTTGAAGGGTCTGAAGAGATGCCTCATCAATGAAGAGTACTTCCACATGGTGGCTCACAACTGTGTGTTCAGCTCCAGAGGACTTAACACCTTCATCTGGCCTCTGTGGGCACTGCCAGCACATGGATGACACGTGAGCATACGTACCAGCAAAACAACCCTACACATGAAATAAAAATAAATCTTAGGGGCTGGACAGATGGCTCAGCACTTAAAAGCATTGGCTGCTCTTTCAGAGGACCCAATTCCAATTCCCAGCACCCACACAACAGTTGACAACTGTCTACAACATTCAGTCACAGGGGATCTGACGCCCTTGCACAGACATACATGTGGGCAAAACATCAATGCACATAAAACAAAAATGAATAAGTAAGAAGAAAAAAAATAAAGACTTTTTTTAAGAACTTAAAAATATTTTTGGAGCGTAGGTAACAACAGAAACGCCCTTCATTTGGGAATCATGTACTCAGTGGCAGTGGCTCCTAGACACCATCCTATCCGATGTGTGCAAACATTCCTATGATATGAAAATTACCTGAGGCTGAAGCTCAGTGAGATTAAAATGACCCAAGTCCCCGATTACGCTACTAAGAAGGCAGGAAGAAAACTGATGCTTTCTTTCTCATGCTACAGCATGTGTGAAAGAACTTAGTGCCTTCAGAAAGAGCAAGGTTTGAAGTAGCTGAAGTGACAAGAGTTTCCAGTCACTATAATCTGATCGTTATATATTGTGTACATGGACTGAAATGCCACATTGTGCCCATAAATATATCCAATTACTATGTGTCAATTCAAACTTTAAATAAGTACTATCATTGCAGTTGGACTTGTTAACGCAGGGCAGGATTAGAAGTCGAGTATTCATACCCCTCCCCTAGGCAATTCTGTCCATACGTATGTGGTTATGTGGTTATGTTTGAGACTCAATGAATACAAATGAACATGGGAAAGGTCCAATAGTGTTTTCTTTTTCAACGTCTAGACATAATAGTTTAAGCTCATTAGCACCTGCCTTTGAAAACTACGCCAGGAAACCATTAGTGACCTCTCTATCCGTACCTTTTACATACATAAAAGGAGAAAGTTATGACATCATGTACTTTAGTGTCAATCAAAATTTATGGGGTACCACCACAGGCAATTTAGAAAATAGACATTTGGCAGATCCTTTGCTTTCAGCGTTTAAGTTTTCATTCCAGTAATTAATGCAGTGGCCTTCTCAAGAACTCTCTGTTCTAAGTCCCAACTATTATAAAAAGCACCTCTACTATTTTCCTTTGAGGCATCTTCATGGCTTCAGGCAGAACGACATGGAAGAGTGAGAACATTTCCACTTCAAAAAAAGACCTGATGGGATAGAGAAGTCATCCAGCACTGAGAACCTACCAAATATCAGACTTTTTCATCAGCGATCTCTTACTTAAGCACCAAAACTCACACCCCTCACAGATTATTTTTATGCTTCTCTTTCTTCTCTTAGGCCTTACATTCCAGTTCAAGAAATAGTAAATATTTAAGAAGCCGGAGGAGAGACTGAAACAAGGTTGTTGACCCTGACTGGGAAGAGTTGATTCTACTTTGGTGAGTTTGTAATTTGAAAAGAAAAACAAAAACATCATCTTACATACATTGTAAACATTGTTTTTAAATATTCCTACCCATTTAAATTTTTTTCACTTGTAACAGAATAAAGATAATGTTAGGATTCAAGTTTTAGGGGCAAACTCCTAGAGTAACACACTTTTAAAAGGATACTTTTAAAGTATCCTTTTCTTTTACCATCTAAAACTATTTTCTTTCTTTAGAAAGTGGCGCATGCCCAGAGTTATGTATTAACTGGCTGCCATCTTTATGACTCAAGCTGAGCATGCCCAGAAGTGTCCCTGTCCACCACTGTAATCCTGCAAGCATATGCTTCACAATTTTTAGCTAAGAATGCCCCCAAAAGTGTGCTCCATCTTCTCTTCTTGAACCTGCTGTTTGAAGTGAATCTTTCTCTGATCTTATTTCTCAGCTATGCTTGTCTTTAGTTTAACCTCAGTGAGGTAGAAACTCCACTTTGGTTATAACAAAATTTATGAGTAACTGGGACTACAGACACAGGACACCACTGTAGTAACAGCACCAGATAGTTTTGTTTGTGTAGTACTAGGAATTCAATTCACAGTGTCACACACTAGGCAAGTGTTCTACCACTGAGCTACACCTTCCAGTCCCATCTTGACTATTTGTAAATATACAGATAAATACAGCCATGATGTTTTGCCAGCCATTAGCATTAACACCCCACCCTTCCTCTACCCAGTCTCTCTATTTTCTTCAAGTTGGCTATGCTAGATAACTCACAGAACTGGAATCTTTCCACATGGCTGATCTTACTTAGCATGATGTTCTCAGGGCACTTATATTGTATCACATCTTAATTAGAGTCATTACTGCTGTGATCAGGTTACACCATGACCAAAGCAACTCATAAAGCAGAGCTTTTAGTTAGACTTATTAAAGTTTCAGAGGGTGAGTCCATGACCATCATGGTAGGAAGCATGGTGGAAGGTGGATAAGCAAGGTGCTGGACCTGCAAGCAGCATAGAGAAAGAGAAAGAGACAGGCAGAGAGAGAGAGGCAGGCAAAGAGAGAGAGAGAGAGAGAGAGAGAGAGAGAGAGACAGGCAGGCAAGCAGGCAGACTGGGCTTAAACCTTAATGCATGGGCATTTAAAACCTTAAAGCCCACTGTAATGAAAGTTTTGTTTTCTTTGTAAACTCAGTTATGTAAAATTTTTGTTTTAATCCCAAGTGTGGGATTTTGGTTGGGCTATAGTTTGTCCAAGGCTGTTAAATGTCTTGTGCAGAGCATGGCTTTTGCCGGCTGGTAACGGCTTTCCATGTACAGCAAAAAGAGGGTCATGGTCTAGGACTCTGAGGATATAAATGGAGAGCCCAGAAAGAGAAGGCGTGACATACAGCATGACCATGTGATGTTGGCTGTGGCGAGAAGCAGTGTGAAGAAACCAGAGAGGAATAGTATGCAGTTTAGAGCAGACAGACAGATAGAAATGCTA